CTGCCTCCAGGCCCGCGCCCAGCCCCATCCCACGAAACGCACACGCAGGGCATCAGCGGTCTGCAGGCACTGCCTGCCTGCAGGCTGGAGAGCTCAGGGTGGGGGGTGCACCAGCCACAGCCCCACTCCCTCTCCACACAGCGGCAGAGATGCTCAGCAAACTGTCCAGCCGCTCCACGCTGAGCTAACGCAGTCACCCACCCCCTCGGGTGTTTGTTGTTCCAGTGGCTCTTCTCTGGGCGCTAGTTTAGCACCACCCCTCCAAGCGAGACTAGGACCAGACCCAAGTCTCCAGTAGTGGTTGCACCACTGCTGGTGTAGCAGTGACGTGACCTCTCTTGGACCCTACGTGGGCTTGTACAGGCAGGGCTTGTGTTAGGCTGCTGGTCCGCAGACAGTCCCACAGCAGGATGGGGAGGTGGAGTGCTGGACACATACGAATGAGGAACTTTTCTGAGGGTGCCCTGCCCTGGCTCTGCAGCTAGGTTTGCCTCTGATGCCAGACTGCTGGCTCCATGAGGCAGTCTTGCAGGAAGATAGCTCTGGATACCAGGGAACAGCCAGGGAGATGGGGCTGTACTGCATAACAGCGAGAGCTCCTCTGTTTCTTCCCTGTTCCCAAAATCTGACCCAGCTCCTGTGGCAGAAAGCTGGACTTCCAGAGAGCTTCCCCTGTGGGTATCTTTGTTAGGATGGCGACCCTCAGAGGATGGTTAAGGTGGGGAAGTGAGGCTGTTCTGGAAGCACCAGAGCCCATGGCCTGAGGAGCCTAAGGAAAACATCTTCCTCTGCGGCAGAGCTAGTTGCTGTACAGTGTATTAACGCAGCTGACATGCATTTTAGAGCACTTTCAGAGTGATAAGAAGTTCATTTTGAAGGAAAGAAGTTATTCATTTGCTGCCAGTCACTGTGGCAGCTAATCAGTTTCAGTGAATTTCCATCGGCAGTGGTAGAGAATGCTACCAGCTAAAACCCAGGCTTGGCACACAACTCAGGTGTATTGGTACAGGGCTGTTACCCCAGTAATAATATCCAACATGGACCCAGAATACAGGTAACCTGAGTACAGGTTTCAGCAATGTCAGTGAGGCCAGACTTACACTCTCAAATGAGCAGCTCCACAGCAAGGGGAGCTGGGGCAGGAGGGAGGGAGGATGTTGAACTCAAGGGGGAGGCAGGTGGGTCCAATTTCCCAAAGTGCCTTCTGGCTGCTGTCATGGCACCTGTGGCTCTGAGTGCTCTGCAGCTGGAGCAGGGACGGGGGATCCTGTTTCACGGTGCTGCTTCTGGCAGCTGCTGCAGGGCTGGGAGCACGGTGCTCATGGTAGATGTGCTCTCAGCTTCTCCTCTCAGGCATCCCCTTAGACCACAGGGAGCAGGGCAGGAGAGCTGGTGAGGGTGTGTTGCAGGTGCTGCCTCCTCTCCCCGGAGGCCGTGGATCACTGGGCAGGAGAACTGGCGAGGGGCTCTCTCAGGTACTGCCTCCCCTCCCTGGGGTGCGGAGCATACGTTCTGGGGGGAGGGAGGTCCCACCTCTACCTGATTTATTTTTTCTTCCCTGGCCCAGCCGTTCTCTGTACTCTCTCTTGTTGTTCCTCCATCTCTGACGATCGGGTGAGTGGTTCAGGTTAGGGGCCCTGCCCAAAGGAAAGAGCTGTTTGCAGCCCCCAGCTGGGCCCTTTCCTTGGCGCGTGTGCAACGTTCCTGTGCTTCTCGCTCACGGGAGCCGAGGCCCCAGCGCTGCTGCTGGGAGGAGCTGTGGCTGACGAGGCCTGAACTCCACTTCACCCGGGGCCTGGCCCAGCTGCCTCCCTCCTGGCTCCGTCCTCTAGCTTTGTTCTCTGTGCGGAGCTCCCAGCTGGTGGATGAGCCATGGGCAGTGATGCTGGGGTCAGGGGGAAGGAGCTGTTTTCTGCTGACCTGAGCGCTGCAAGGAGCCCAAGGAACTGGGGCCTTGCAAGCAGGGAGCAGTTTTAGTCCTCCCGCTGTGTCTGTAACTGCTAATGCAATTCCTGTGCCCCAGGCTCCGGTGGGCCCTGGCTGTCACAGGGCAATGCCACCCTCAGTCATCACCCTCAGAGCCCAGGGCTGCTGGGCACAGAGCTCTGAGAGCAGGACAGAGCCACGGTCATGGTGAAAAGGGGGCTGGTTTTCTTCCTGTCTTGTCATAAGCGTTTTCGCAGAAAAGAAGGAGCAGAGGGCCAGGGGCAGCTGCTGCAAAAGCGCAGGTTGTCCCTGGCTGGCTGATCAAGCTGGGTGCAGTGGGGATGCTTGGCTGCTAGATCCTTGGCATCTGTGTGAGGCTTGGCCTTTCTGCACCCCCTCTCCATATGGCCTTTTCCTTTGCTAAGGCAAGTCTGTTGAGCTGGGTCATGGGTGTTGCCCCAGGGGTGCAAGAAGGGAGATACCACTTGAAACAAGGCACCTCTGATGGTGCAGGGACCCATGGCAGCACTGTAGATAGAAAGCATAGTGCAGCTCTTGCGAGTCTGCAATGCTGTGCTCCCCTACCTCTGCGTCCCCTCATGGGGACTGGGCCAGCATAGGCTGATCCCGGGGTGCCCCACAGCTGCCTGCAGCACTGCTCAGTGAGCCCCTGGGAGGCCCTGTCCTCTTGCAGGGAGGGCTGCAGAGGGAGTGGTGGCTTGTCTGGGACAAGAGTCGCAGGGCTGAGGTGGTAACTGTCAGTCTGCTTTACTGTGGCCAGCTTTGAGGACTGTGCAGTGGTTGTGGGCCACAGCACTGGGTTGTGGAGGTGGTGGTGGTGATGGGCTGGGTCTGGCTGGTGGTCTTCTCTGTGGTGCTGGCCCTGCTCACGTAGTGCCTTCCCTCACCCAGGTGACAGCCACAGATGCAGACAGCGGCACGTTTGGCTCCCTTTCCTACTCCATTGGTTCTGGCATCGGCAGTGTTGTCCCCACGCAGTTCAGCATCGACAAGCACACAGGGCAGCTGTGCACTGTGCAGCCTCTGGATCGTGATGAGGGCACGTCTGCCTATGATTTCACCATCACTGCTGTTGATGGGGTGAGTGCTGGAGGGGCCGCAGAGATGCAATGCTGCTGACTCAGCACTGTGCAGGGGATGCTGTTGTCCTTGCCCCTACTCTTTGCACCATCTCTGATCTGGTCCTTCCACAGGGTGGCCTGAACTCCATGGTGTATGTGAAGGTTTTCCTGGAGGACATAAATGACAACCGGCCAGTGTTTTACCCGCTGGAGTATGCTGCCAGCATCAGCACACAGAGCATGCCAGGTACAGCTGTGCTGCGTGTTACTGCCCACGACAAGGATGAGGGGCTGCACGGGAAGGTGACCTACCGCATTGTCCTGGGAAACTCACCCCCCCTCTTCTCCCTCAACAAGGACACAGGTGAGAGAGCGCTCAGGGGGCAGCCAGAGTAGGCAGCGGTCAGAGCAGTGGGATGCGGGCAGGTGTAAAAGCCAGCCTGAGGGTCACTGCTTGGCCATCTCAGCGGTGCAGCCTGCCACCAGAATATGTCTGTTCCTCTCCCTGCCACGTTTTCCCTTCTTTGGCTTCTTGAGCCTCTGCAGCCCCTTCCCAAACTCAGTCTCTGACCTCTGTCTGCCTTCCTCTCCCTCATTCCCCGTCCCTGACTCACCGCGCCCTTCCTCCTGCACGCTGCTTGCTTTGCCCCATCAGGCTGTATCCTGCTTAGTTTCTTGTCCCTGCCCAGTTCCCTTCTCTCCCCTGCTCAGTTTACTCTCCTTCCCTATAACTCTGCCACACTCAGTCCCACCTTTCTCATTGGCTGCATCTGCTTTACCTTGCTTTGGCCACCAAAGCCAGAGCAGTTTCCACTGGGGAGGCGAGTGCATGGGCGTGTGGTGCCAGGGGCTCTCAGCAGGACAGGAAGGTGTCCTGTGCTCAGCACAGGCATTGGGGTCTCTCCACGCTGGTCCCCAAGTTCCCAGAATGTGACTGGGGTGAGACAGGCCTACCAGCCATCCTAATGCAGGGCCACCTCCTTTGTAGGGCCTGTCAAGGATGGTCCTTCAGTTCTACGTCTCCTCCAAGGCCCTCCCCACAGCCCAGATCCCACCTGCTGTGTCGTGACCCTCACCCTGCGCCCCACATTGGAAGCCCTAGTCCCTCCTTTCCCTCTCCCAAGACCTGCCCTCTGGCTTGTTTCCCCCAGCCCTTACCACTGCTTAGCTCAGGGCTGGGCTTAAGGTTGGGAAAGGACGATTTGGGGAGGCTTTCCCAGGAGGGTTCCTCTTCTTTACTCCAGTTCTTCCATGGCGAGCTCCCCACTGCGATGCACATTGTTTGCTGCCCCCTTAGGTCCTTCCTTTCAAGCTTATGATTTGTCCTGTTCCCTTGGTGCCAGATGACAGGCAGGGGTGCGGGCATCGTGCCCTCTGAACTGCTTTCTTCCCTAGGTGTCATCTCCCTCTCATGGTCCCTGAGTGGTAAAGCCAACACCCTGGTGCAGCTGGTGATCTCTGCACAAGATGGTGGGGGCCTACAGGCGCAGCCAAATGCCCGGGTGAACATCAGCATCGTGGAGGGCACGGTCTCACCCCCTGTCTTTGAGCAAGCTCAGTACTTCTTCACGGTGCCTGAGGACATGCTGCAGGGTGCCAGTGTGGGGGCTGTCCGGGCCCAGAACCCTCCAGGTACGGGCATGTCCCTTTTGTATGCAGTCACTTTCCCTGTCACTGCATCATCTCGAAGGTCCAGTACCGCGCTTCCTCACAGAGCAACCCTGTTCTGGGAGCTCCATGCACGCACAGAGGCACTGGCATCCAAATGTGCGCCTGTGCGATTGTCACTCAACTCAGTGCGTGCTCTCACACATGTGCTTACACACGTGTGTACACACACATCTGCGCGGATGCATCTGTGCATACGTGCACGTGTACACAGTGCTACTGTGCGCCTTCTGACCAGAGTCTGCCGCAGACAGCACTGCCCAGCCCTGCTGCTGGAGGTGAGCTGGGTACACAAATCATTCTTCCTGTCTTCATTTCCTTGTTCACAGGTCATGCTGATGACATCTTTTATTCCATCTCCTCGGGGGATCCTCATGGCTACTTTTCCATTGACTCTGCCTCCGGGCAGCTCCGCACCAGCCTGCCTCTTGATCATGAGACCCAGGCAGTCCTCATTCTGGATGTCCAGGCCCGAAGTGGTTCACCTCCTGCCTACAGCAACACACGTGTGAAGATCTCTGTGTCAGATGTGAATGACAACGTGCCAGTGTTCCCAGCCCCCTCCGACTCCATTCTGCTCCCAGAGGCCACAGAACCTGGGACTACAGTGTACACTTTGCAGGCCGAGGACCGTGACAGCGGTGCCAACGGTCAGGTGAATTTTGAGCTGGTGTCAGGAGGTGATGGCACCTTCAGTGTGGAGCGCTCATCAGGGGCGGTGCGACTGATCGGGGCCCTGCAATATGAAGCCAGCGCAGCCTACAGGCTGGCCATTGTGGCCCGAGACAGTGGCGTTCCCCAGCTCAGCTCCACGTTCACGCTGCTGGTGCATGTGCAAGCCGAGCACGACAATGGGCCCATCTTTGACACACTCACCTACCGCGTGGAGGTACGGGAAGGTGTGCCTGTCTCCACCCGCTTCCTGCAGGTGCGGGCCCTGGCACGCGATGCAGAATCCATGACCCTTACCTACCACTTGCGTGCAGATGGGGATGCTGCCAGCTTTGGCATCATGCCTGAGAGCGGTTGGCTGTATGTCAAAAGCGCACTGGACCGGGAGACGCGGGACCTGTATGTGCTCACAGTGCTGGCCTCGGCAGGAGGCAGTGGTGCAGGGGGGGAAGCACGGAAAACAGGCACCAGCACTGTACGGATCAGCATCACTGATGAGAACGACAACAGCCCCCGGCTGAGTGAGGAGCGTTACTTCTTCACTGTTCCTGAGAATCAGGCTCCCGGTAGCAGTGTAGGGAGAGTGATGGCAAGTGACCGGGATGCTGGGCAGAACAGCCGGCTCACCTACCGCCTGCTCCAGCACGATCCCAACTTCCTCATCCACACACAGACAGGTGAGAGGTTTCCTGGCTTCCGAGGCTGGGGAGAAAGCCCAGGGCGGGTCAAAAGTGATGCGGGCCAGGCCAGTGCCGCAACAGAATATTCATCTTCCTGCCCCTGCGGTGCTGGGCTCCCTGGCAACATACCTCAGCACAGGCTCTTTAAAGAGGTTTTGGGGCTGAGCTATGTCCCCACTTCTCCCCCACAGGGGACCTCAGCACCAAGCATAGCCTGGACCGGGAGCAGCAGTCCAGCTACCAGCTCTTGGTGATTGTGCAGGATGGGGGAGCACCACCCCGCAGTGCCACAGGAACCATCTATGTCACTGTGCTGGATGAGAATGACAACGTCAGCAGGGGGAAAGGGAGTGGGCAGGGGCACCGAGGAGAGTTTCAGGGTGGGAGATAAGCAGGCACAAGTTGCATCCGTGCAGCAGCCAGGGTAGCCTGGTAAATCTGATCGAGATGTGCTAAGATGGGCACGTCCTTGGGAAATACAGCCATCCCTGTGCACGGAGCAGGTGACGACTGCAGAGGGCTCTGAGACCAATAGGACTGAGCAGCAGGCAGAAGCTCTTGGCTCACACATGCTTGCAAGGAGGGAAGGCGAAAGGGAGCCCTAAGCCTGACCCAGCGGAGCCAGGGGTAAAACACTTGTGAGCAGGGAGGCACAGGGTGCTGTTAACTTCTAGGTCTCAGGACTCTTGGTATAGCCACTGGGCTTTCTGGGAGGTCAAGAAAGCACTGCCCAGCTGGACTTCGCACTCACAAGGGTTTTCTGAGAATCTGCTATGGGTCCCAGCCCAGCTTTCCCTCTCAGCACTGCCTGGTGGCAGCAGTCACCTGGGCACTGAGTGTGCTGCAGATCAAGTTATGTCTGTGCTGCTCAACAGAAGTGGGTGAGGATCAACCCTCCACCCCCAGCTAGCTGCGTCTGCTCTGCTGTAGCCCCTGTGGAGCGGCATGTGTGGCGAGGGCTTGCTGGAGCCAGCCGAGTGGCGCTGGCAGCAACAGGACAGGATGGGCAATCGAGGCCCTGTCCTCATCTCCTCTGCACAGAGTGGGGAGAACCTGCAACTGAAAGGACGTGCTTGCTCTGCATGTTGCTGCGCTTCAGGCAGCGTGCTCAAAGCCACTTGCGCTGTGCTGAGTTTAAAACATCATGGCGATGGCAGGCTTTCTCTGTCGCAGGTCCTGCCTGAGCCGCACACCGGAGGCAGGTCAGAGCAGGCAGGACTGTATTGGCAGGTCACTGCCGCACCTGGGTGGCCATCGGCACAGGACCCCGGGGACACTCTGTGGCTCCCGTCAGGCCTTCCCTGTTCATCACTTTTTTCCTTCCTGTTCCAGGTCGCAGCTATCCCTTGCCCAGCCGCCTTCTTGCATGTCCAGCTGGCGCTCTCTGCTTGCAAAACTGTCTGGCAAGGCTTGGCCTGGATGAAGGCATGTCTCAGGGCCTGGTGGAGGCAGAGGAAGGCAAAGTTAGTCTTGTCCTCTCTCTGAGCAAGGCTCTGGCCTTTGAGTCACTCCTGCAGGGCAGAGACCAACCAGCCGTGGCATTGCTGAGACTGCAGCTGAACAGGCTCTGCCAAATGGCATTGCTCACACTCTGCCGAGTGCCCTGTCTCCTGTGCGGGGACACCTGCAACACGCTCGCGCAGCAGGCTCTGCAGTCGATTCCAGTGTTTGGGGGCATGAAATGCTGGGAGTGTCCTGCTAGAGCTCGGGAGGTCTTTTCTCTTACAAAGGTACCACAAAAGCATACTCATCCTTCAGGAGCCAGAGCAAGGCTGGGACAGATTTAGAGTCCTGAAGGCAGGTAAATGCTATGGCAGTTTTGAACTAAACGAATATTTGGGCACTTTGGTTTGAAGCGCTCCTGCTAGAAACACTGGCAGGGAAGGGTGAAGCACAGGAAGAGGCCACTGTCAATCATGATTTAAGTGTAGAAGAAAGGCTTGGAGGGAAAAGTAAAAACTGAATGATAAATGCAAAAGTTTAGTGATTTATTGCAGACTTGCTCCGTGAAGTATTCATATCGATGTTCCTTAGGCAAAGCAGGGGGAGGTTTCTGTATCAGCACGTGCTTTAAGCCTCAGCTAGAGGGGTATCTCCCACTGTGAGGCTGCAAGATGAGCTTGTCAAGCAGGTTGGTAGCTCTGGCAGGACCAGGTGGTGTTCACACAGGAACTGCAGTAGTAATGGATCCTCCCAGGGAATGATCCCTAGGAAAGGGGAGAGGGAGCAAAGGGAAGGAAGAAGCGGTCGGTGTTCACAGAGCGGGGATGTCACTGGTGGGTGCCTAGGACTGGTGCTGGTATCCTTGCTATTTAGCATTTTCATAGATCCTCCAAAGAGGTGATGTTACTGGTCTGTTCATAGTAACAAAGGTGAGGGCTCCCTGTGAAGAACTGTAGAAGGATCTTGTTTTACTGTTCAGTTAGGAAGGAAGATGGGAGGTGAAATTCACTCTTGCTAACTGGAAAGTGGTACACATGGCAAAAAGCAGTATGAATTTCACTTCCACAGTGGTGGGCTCTGAATTGGCTACTTAAGTTTAGGGAGAAGATTGGGGCATCGCCATGAACGCTTTGTGAAAATGTCAGCTCAGGGCTCAGCCACAGTCAAAAAGGCAAATCAAATGCTGGGGTTTATTAGAAAAGGAACAGAGAATGAAAGAAAACATCATTACCCTACAGCTCAAATTCTGCACACGCTCTCTGCCCTGCCTCCATTCCACTAAATAAGCAGCAGTGCTAGAAAAGGTTCAGAAAAGGATGTTAATGTGATCTCCAGTAGATAATGGTTTCCATGCAGAAAGAAAATACTTGAACATTCTTTGGCATGGAAGAAACTGCAGGAATATAACAGAGGTGTGCAGTGAATGGCACAGAGAAAGTCGTGGGGAAATTAGAAGTTGGGTTTTTCACAATACAAGACCTAGGCAGCTTCATAAGAAATGATCAGGCAGCAGGTTTAAAATAAACAAAGGCAGTACTTTTTAATGTAGAACATAATTAAATTGTGAAATCATTGCCAAAAGTTGCATGGGTTCAAAATTAGATGAATTCATGGAAAGAAAAAAATCCATCAAAGGCTGTTGAACAAAAATATGATCTGTGGCTCAGGAAGTGACTTAGCCACAGACTGCTGGAAGCTGGGAAGGTTTCACAGGAGGATTATTCCATGCGTACCCTATTTCTTGCATCTTCTTTATATATCCGCTGCCAGCCACTGTCAGAGCTATGCCAGTGGTTGAGATGGCTCTCTGATCTTTGGACCAAGCTGGTATTTGCAACAACCTTCTTGGAGGGTGGACATCAGACCTGGACAAGCCTGCCTGGTAGCAATTTTACTAAGGCTGAGGTTTTTGCAGAGGCAGGGCCACTTCTATTGCTGTTTATTCCTCTGTTTGTGCATCTGAAATGGCATTTGTACACGGAGCCAGTGTGGATGCTGCTCATTTAACTCCTCTGCTGAGTCACTGCTTTCCTCAGATGGAGTTTGAGTCCTTGTGGAAGCGGGTGACCACGCACGCAAAGCAGGAGCCCCTTGTAAGCTGGTTGAGGGCAATTAGGGGCAGCATGGGGGGCAGACCTTGCCCCAGCCTGTTACAGAGGAGGGGTTGGAAGGGGCCTCCTAAGCATGGCCCCACTCAGAGGTGTCCATGCAGACGCTCCTTTTCATAAACAGCCAAGCTATATTTAGAAGGTCTTCTGCCTCCATCGCTGCTGCGAAATGCTGTTCCAGATTCCTTGATCTGGTAGTTAGAAAACATCTCTTAATTTCCAGCCTAAACTAATTTCTGACCACTTTATACTCATTTGTTCTTGTGCCAATATTGTGTTTTTGCTTAAATAGCTCTTCTCTCTCCTTGGAATTTCCCTCCCCTCTCCCAGCGTTTACAGAGTGCAGTCACATCACTGCTTGGCCTGGCTAAACAAGTCCAGCTCCTCTGGTCTCCCTCCCTGTGCGCCACCATCGTGGTGCCAGCAGCTTGTGCAACTGCATTAACCCTTGCCTCCTTTCAGGAGCTTGCAGCCTCTTTCCTTGGATTCTTGCTTGGATTCCACTTGTCTTTTTCATAAATGCATTAAGGCAGTACCACACGGAGATCACCTAGCACAGCTGGATCTGTGAGGATGATTTGTACTGTGGGATGTGCTGATAGGATGTGAATTTGAGGTCTGTAACCTCAGGATGTGAATTCGATGTCTTCTGGTGTGGAAGGGACCACAGAGTCTCTGCCAAGTGGGGAACCTTCTCTGCCAGTGAGGTGTGGGTAAGTGCAAGAAGTCTGTGCTGGAGGAGAGACAGGTCTGCCAGCAGGCCGACAGGTGGTAAGGGGCAGGAACGGGGATGCGGCCATTTCCATAATTATCCAGGAAAGGTGCTTGCGTGCTGTTACATGTGGTCTCTGTCAGGAAGCTGATAACTCACCTCAGAATGTGGGGTTAACTGAGCACGTGTGCAATTAATGTCTTGATGGTACTGCGATGCACTGGCATAAAATGATGGTCTTAAGTGCCTACAGACAGGCAGTCAGCAGCACTAACTAGGAGCAAAGGAGAGAAGGGAAAAGCCCTAAGAGTCCGGGTGTCCGAGCCCAGGAAGAACTGCCAGCTGCATTCCCAGAGATCACAAACCTCCCTGGGCCGGCTGGTGGGAACTGAGGAAATCACCTTGCATTACCAGGGTGACTGGCCTCTGAGCCTGTCAGTGCTCGTACCTTTGCATTTGCAGCTGAAGGGGTTTGTTGGGGGCAGAGAGAACCAGGACTGTCGTGGAGCCCTGGATTTTCCTAGCTGTAGAGGCTTTGGATGTACCATGGGTGAAATAGTGTCCTCCCATCGCCCTGGAGCTCACTGCTGCAGCATGCCCCAACGCTGCTAAGCTGATTGTTAAACAGGGCAGGATGGGAGGAGGGCTGGCAAGGCAGAAACGCCCTTTGCCAGCTATGCTGTGGACTCCTCCATGTTGTCCAGCCTCAGGCACAGCCGGTGGGTCTTGCCAGGGAGTCTGTGCCTTGGGTGAGGTGCAGGGCTGGTGTAGGAAGGTGCAGATCCTGTGCTGTGCTCGGGGGCTTGTGGGGGTAGGCTGAAGGGTGCCGTGTGCCACTCAGCTGCTCCCTGGGCTGTGCTGCAGGTGCTGGAAGAGAAGCCATCGGGACTTCTAGTCGCCTCCCTGCAGGCCAAGGACCCCGACGAGGGTGAGAATGGGACCATCATCTACTCACTGATAGGTACGAGCTGCAGAACTGACTAACTGCTGCTGCTCTCTCTCTACCTTGCAGCCACCACCCTTGTGGGCAGATGGGTGCCCACTGCCCAAGCCCTGCCACACCGCGCTCCCTCCTCCGTCCCACCCTGCCCCCTGCCCTCCCTCCTCTCTGCCTTTCCCTGCAGCATTTCACCTTCTTTCTGCAGGAGCCTGGGCAGAGCGTTTCACACTCCACATGGCTACGGGAGAGTTGCGGACTGCCACAGTTCTACGCCGATCTGATCGTGCTGAGTACATCTTCACTGTGACAGCCAGTGACCGGGGCACAGTGCCTCGCAGTACATCAGCCATCATTCGCATTCAGGTATCCAGCACCCCAGTGCCTCTTGTCCCTGCTTGTCCCCCATCTACCCCTCGCTCACCTCTTGGAAGACACCATCCAGCTACTTGGCAGCCTTCGTACCCACCTTCTCACCCTTCCCCGCCTTCATCCCAGGGCACCCTCTGCCCTTGCTCAGCTGTTGATCCAGCCCTAAATCTGTGTGGAGAACCTGGGATGGGAAGGGATGGGCCTACCTGTCACTGTGCATGTTCTCATCTGTAAAGTGCTCAACAGCATTAACAGTAAGCAGTTCTGTCTTTTCCAGACTTGGACAGCTGACCCTGTCCTAGATATGCTGGTGCAGAGAAGACCTTAGAGGTCCCCTGCACAGAGACATTAATTCTTCCCAGCATAGAATTATAGAATCATAGAATGCTTTGGGATGGAAGGGACCTTTAAAGGTCATCTAGTCCACCCACCCTGCAATTGGCAGGGACATCTACAACCAGATCAGGTTACTCAGAGCCCCATCCAGCCTGGCCTTGAATGTTTCCAAGGATGGGGCATCTCCCACCTCTCTGGGCAATCTGTGCCAGTGTTTCGCTGATAGAATTACTTCCCTCGCCCTGCTGGCCACACTTCTTTTGATGCAGCCCAGGATACGGTTGGCCTTCTGGGCTGTGAGAGCACAGTGCTGGCTCATGTCCAGCTCTTCGTCCATCACTACCCCCCAAGTCATTCTCGGCAGGGCTGCACACAATCCCTTCCTCCCCCAGCCTTAACTGATACTGGGGATTACCCTGACCCAAGTGCAGGACCCTACACTTGGCCTTGTTGAACCTCATGAGGTTCACACAGGCCCACCTCTCCAGCCTGTCCAGATCCCTCTGGATGCCATCCCGTCCCTCAGGCGTGTCGACTGCACCACTCAGCTTGGTGTCATCTGCAAACTTGCTGAGGGTGCACTCGATCCCGCTGGATCACCTCTGGATGCAACCATCCAGCCAATTCCTTATCCACCAAACAGTCCACCCATCAAATCCGTATCCTTCCAATTTAGAGAGGAGGATGTTGTGGGGGACCGTGTCAAAGGCCTTACAGAAGTCCAGATAGATGACATCCGTAGCTCTTCCCTCGTCCACTGATGTAGTCACTCCATCATAGAAGGCCACTAGGTTGGCAGGACTTGCCCTTGGTGAAGCCGTGCTGACTGTCCCGAATCACCTCCCTGTCCTCCATGTGCCTTAGCGTAGACTCCAGGAGGATCTGTTCCGTGATCTTCCCAGGCACAGAGGTGAGGCTGACAGGTTGGTAGTTCCCAGGGTCCTCCTTTCTACCCTTTTTAAAAATGGCTGCAATATTTCCCTGAAATATTTCAGCATCTACTGAAAACAGTGTTCCTGACATGCAGGGTGTTCTGCACATCTGTATAACTTCGGCACTCACTGTCTGGTGTATTGGCCCAGACAGCCAAGTCCTTTCTCTGTTGTTAGTAATGAGCTTCCTTTTACAGCAGAGACTCCGGTTTCCCCGCAGTCAAGGCACTTTCACAGTACACCTTTTCACATCTTGCTGTCCCTGTTCTTGCAGTTCCCAAGGCCATTCTCCTTGTTTGATGTTCTGCTGCTTCTCTGTGCTGGCAGTGACCTCTAATATCGTCAGCAAGTTCATAACGTACTCAGCTTTCTTTTGCCCTTGCACCTATCAAAAGTAAATGTCAGCACCAAGAGCCATCTCTGCAAAGGCCTGCTAACTGCTCTCCTTGAGCCAGTCGATCTTTTAGTCCTTTCTGTCACACAGCCATCCTCCTGTTGTGCCTTTCCCCAGTTTAATGAGTGATCTCCCATGTGCTCCTGCATCAGAGCCCAGCTAAAACCCCGACAAGTTAGATAGATAGATACACTGCGTTTCCTTTGACCTTGAGGAGAGAAGCACTCTGTTAGCCTGGCACATCTGCCTGTAGCCATTCCACAATACATTTTACACCATTTCCTTTTTATGCCATGTCTGTAACTGTTCTTGTCATTAAAGTTCTTCTACAGCCTTCAAAGTGTTGAGGCCAGGCTGGCAGACTGGTTGTCCCTGAAGTGCTTGTTTGCATCCCTGTAACGTAGCTATTTGCTTGACGGTCGCTAGTTTTGATACCCCTCTGGGCTGACAGTTTTGCTGTATTCTCTTTTTCCCCGGCTCCTTGACATGAGTGCACCGAGTTCTTCAACATGTCTTCCCTTCAGATAACACTATTGCTTTTCATGCATCCTCTCTCCCATCCACAGGTGCACCTCATCCCCGAATTAACTTCGGTATCTTTAATAAAAGTAGTGATAGTATTTATTTATGTTTGTGTCATACGGGGTTATCTCTCTTCTCTGCACCTCTCTTCTTGCCCACTCTTGCTTACGTTTTGCAGAATTGTTTCTGCTGGTGTCTGCTGTCTTTGCAGTATGTAACACAGTCACAGACTCGCAGAATGGTTGAGGTGGGAAGGCAGCTCTGGAGGTCATCTTGTCCAACCACCCTGCTCAAGCAGGGCCACTCAGATTCAGTTGCCCAGGACCATGTCCAGGTGGCTTTTGACTGTCTCCAGGGATGGAGACTCCACCACCTCTCTGGGCAATCTGTGCCAGTGCTCGGTCACCCTCACAGTTGAAAAAATGTTTCCTGATGTTCAGAGGGAACCTCCTGTGTTTCAGTTTGTGCCCATTGCCTCTGCCACTGGGAAGAGCCTGGCCCTGTCCTCTTTGCACTCTCCCTTCAGGTAGTGATGATCTTACTTTGGTAAGATCCCCCCGAGCCTTCTCTGCCCAGTCAGCAGCTCTCTCTGTCCTTACCTACCCTAGCTCCCCAGGTGAAGCTCGTCTTTCACCCTGTCCAACCTGCACTTATTCTCAGCATGTTTTTCAGGTTGCTATTAATTTTTTAGGCCAAAAGAGCTGAGACCTTGCCTCCCGACACTTGCTCTCTGCAGGCCCCGTGTCCCCCTCTTCACTGGCTCCCCAATAGGACCTCCTGGCACACAGCACCCTGGTGCGTGCCCCTCACTGCTGCCTCTCCCTACAGGTACTGCCATCCTCCCGGGTGCTGCCACGGCCTGATGCCACTGTGCTGACCCTGCACCCTCTCGAGGGGGTCAAGCCAGGGTCCGTGATCGGCTCAGTGGCACCCCCAGATGCCCCTGCACGAGGACAGCTGACCTACACAGTGGTAGGAGGTGGTGGGGATGGCACCTTTGTGGTTGACAGTGTGACAGGGGAGATTTACGCTGCCCGGGAGTTGGACTATGAAGCTGGGGCACGGCACGTGCTTCAGGTGAGTGCTGAGGACATGCAGCATGGCTATCCCTCCAGCCGACTGGTGCTGGTACAGATCCATGTGCAGGACTGCAATGACCAGGCGCCCACCTTCCCTGAAGACCCCATCACCATTGTGGTGCCCGAGAATGCCCAGGCTGGCTCGTCCATCTTCACTTTCCAGGCGGTGGATGGGGATGGTGTGGGTCCCAATAGCCAGGTGCGCTACGCCCTGCTGCACCAGGAGCCCCCCGGGGCTCCCTTCCAGCTTGACAGCCGCTCGGGGCTGCTGACCCTTCGCCAGGGCCTTGACCGGGAGGCTGCTGCCTCCTTCCTCTTGGTGGTGGAGGCCACGGACCAGGCCCGCAACGTCAGCCAGCGCCGTTCGGCAGCCGTCACAGCCCGTGTGTTTGTCACTGATGAGAATGACAACGTGCCCGTGTTCCTCTCGCCTGCTGCTGTCAGCGTCATGGAGGACCAGCCGACAGGGTTCGTGGCGCTGCATGTGGTGGCCCAGGACAACGATTTGGGAGAGAACGGGCGTGTGAGCTACTTGTTGCGAGCAGGCAACAGTGACGGCCGCTTCCACCTTAACCCCAGCACTGGTGAGGGCCCAGGAGGATGCAGGGTGGGCGGCAGGGACACTGGGAACGCAGGGGCTGAGGAGGGTGCAGGGATACATAGGGATGTAGCATGGTGCACAGGAGGGCGTGGACTGGGGAACCCGGAGGAGGGAGATCTGTGGGGTGTGGAGAGTCCCGAGCATAGCACCTGGTTGGCATGATACTGCTGTCTCTCGAGACCTGGCTGTCCCTGGCTCAGCCCAGTGCTTGCAGCCTTGCCATAGCTCTGTCCTGGGAACAGTCGGCCCTGGTGCCGTGCGGTCCCAGCTCGCCTCTCTCCCTGTGTCTGCAGGCGCGCTCTCCATTGTGCGGGCCCTGAACCGGGAGGAGGTGGTGCAGCACAATCTGACTGTGGTGGCCATGGATCACGGTTTCCCACGCCGCTCCGCTACACAGCTACTGTCCGTGCTGGTGCTGGATGTCAACGATGAGGCTCCCACTTTTGAGAAACCTGAGTATGAAGCACACATCATGGAGAACTTGCCAGCTGGCAGCCCTGTGCTGCAGGTGCTGGCCACGGACCGGGACCTGGGTGAGGATGCAGGGCAAGGATGAGCCCCAGTTTGGTCAGGGGCCCTTCTGGAGATGCAGCACCCAGGACTGGGTGAACTCTGCTCCCTCCCACCTGGTTTGGAGAGGGAAGGATCATCACCTGGCCTGGAGATGAGAGAGGGGCTGAATCCTGGGAGAAGCTGAGAATGAGAGCAGGGACTGTGATTCCCTCTGCTCCCCAAGACAGTGGCCTTTGTTCCTTGAAGGTTCCTTGGCCCATCTTCCCTTCCACAAACTGGGCTGGGCTGGGATCTCCCTCCACCACACATCTCTGCCCCAGCTTCACTTGCCATGGAGTGAGATGATCCTCTCCCGGAGCCTGCGTGACCCCTGGGTGGGCAGCCTGGGAGGAGGGAGGTGCAGGGCTCTGAGCCAAATGAGAGGCCCCTGGGGTTGCTGCTGGGCTGCCCTCAAACCATGTTCCTCCCTGCAGGTGCCAATGGGCAGGTGTCCTATGGGGGTCTCTCTGGGGGGCCGTTCTCCATCCACCCACAGACGGGGCTTATTGTCACCACACATCGCCTGGACCGTGAAGAGCAGGAGCAACACGTGCTGATGGGTAGGGCTGAGCTGGTGCATTAGAGGGGTGCAGCAGGCATGGGGGTAGGGAGCACAGGGGAGACCGATGGGTGCCCCCCACTCCTGGGGCAGGGCAGTACTACAGGGAGGGCAGGCCATGGGAAGTGATGGAGGTTTGTGGGGCAGGTGGGGTTGTTGGCTGGTTTGAGCCGGTGATCCCATGCCTGGCTGCCCCTGTGATTGTCTGGGCATTTCCATATGACAGCCTTGATAGTAGCTCCCAGTCAGCAGGGTGGCGTGCAGTGCTTTTGCTGTGTTCCTGCAGTCTATGCACGGGATGGTGGCCTGCCCCCCAACCTCTCCAGGGCAACTGTGCGGATAACAGTAGGGGATGAGAATGACCACGCACCACACCTAGAGAGTGAGTCCTGCTCTGTGGAGGTCCCTGAGAACCAAAGCCGCGTGGCACTCTACACCTTGCGGGCCACCGATCCTGATGGAGGCGAGAACGGGCGCTTGGAATACTACGTGGCAGGTGAGGCACACAGGGAGCTCTGTAGCTTCTTTCTCAGCAGTAGGTAAGGGCAGTTCACCCTGGGCTGCCCATGGCTCTGGGAAGCATCACCCGTGGCAGTTCCTGTTCCACTTCAGTTCTCTCCTACTCCAAAGCACAGGGAGCTGCTGCCACCTCTCAGCCCTCTAGTTTCTCTGCCCCTGGTAAAGAGCACCCCAAGATCTGGACAGGCTGCACTTCCTCATTCCCCAGGCTCTTGTCTGGTTCCCCAGGCTTGGACTAGTTCCGTACCTCTCTTGGCTGCTCTGACCTGTTGAATTTACAAGTCGCTAAGTGAGATCTCTTTGCTGTTACCATGCCATGCATTGCCTGGGGGCTTCCCATGGCAGCAACACTGGCCTGTAAGCTGTTGGAGCCAGTTCTTACATACACACACGCACACAGAGCTGGACCAAGGAGGTTCAATCCCACTGGGGCCTTACAGAGACCAGCTCACTCCACCCTCCCTGCAGGCCACACTGGGATGGACTTCATGCTGTCCTCTCTGGGCAGCATAGGGCAGGTCCTTCCTTGTACCAGTTATAGTCACGCTGTCTTGTTATTCCGTCTCTTCTTTTCCAGATGGAGACCCTGGGCAGGATTTCAGCCTAGACCCGGTCTCTGGTGTCCTTTCCACTGCACGTGCCCTTGACCGGGAGCAAGTTGCTTCCTACAGCCTCACAGTGGTGGTACAAGACCACGGCACTCCCCCACGCAGTGCCACCATGTCAGTGAACGTGCGGGTGTTGGACCTAAATGACAACGCACCTGGTTTTGCTCAGGCCACCTATGTGGTGGAGGTGCCAGAGGACTTGCCTGTTGGTGCCCTGGTGCTGCAGCTGGTGGCTGAGGACCCTGACGAGGGCACCAATGGGCAGGTCTCTTACTACCTGGGCAATGAGTCACTTGGCATGTTCCAGGTCGAGCCACAGAGTGGGCGCATCAGAAGTGCCCAGGCGCTGGACCGGGAACGCCACCCCAGTTACAGCTTCCTGGCTAAGGCTGTGGACTCAGCACCATGGGAGCCCAAGAGCGCAGCTGTGCGTGTCACGGTCACGGTGCGAGATGTCAATGACCATGCCCCTGCTTTCCTGCACAGCCCACTCACTGTCAACTTGTCCCGCCACACACCACTCAAGCAGGTCGTGGCCACCATGAGGGCAGAGGACAGGGATGCGGGTGCCAATGCCTCCATCCTGTATCGCCTTGCCACCCCCAACTCTGCCTTCGCAATCAACTCCTACACAGGGGATATCCAACTGCTGCAGCCCCTGGGCTCACTCAGCCAGCGCCAGCGGACACTCTTCATCCTGGCCACAGACCTGGGGCAACCAGCACTCTCCTCTACTGGTGTGGTGGTCATCCATTTGCAGGAAGAGCCCTACCGGGGGCTGCGCTTTCCCCGGAGCACCAGTGACGTGGCCCTGCCAGAAAATGCTGCCCCAGGTATCAGCAGGGCAGGGTGACCAGCAAGTGCTGGGATGAAATGGGACAGGACGGGAGGGGAGGTGGGTGCTGGACCGGCAAAGCTGTGGGAAGCTCAAACCAGGGAGCACTGCAAGGCCTTGGGAAGCCCCATTATGCTTTGGGTAGACCCAAGGGACTGCAGGATCCCACTGGTGCCCAGGCCGTTCAGGGTGGTAATCCCTGTGGGTTTGCCTCAGGGTCCTCAGATCACTGTAGGCAGTCACGGGTACCCGGTTGCTCCTGGAAGGTCTCCAGGGGTCACAGTGAGACCACAGAGGGGCCATGGACAGGACCCGCGAATCCTGGCTTCCAGCCCAAAGTTACCATTGCATCTCGCTCCCTCTGGCAGCAGTGTCCTCAGGCAGACCTGTGTCCCTGTGGCACAGCGTGTGCTGCCCACACACCACCCTGCCCCTCTCTGCCACCTGCCCCGAGACTCTGCTGCCCCTTCACGCTGTTTCACTCTCTTCCAGGCACTGCCGTGGCCAGCATCCAAGCCGTGCACACGGGGGGCTCTTCTGGGCGCATCACGTACAGCATCGTCAGCGGCAACGAGAAGAATGCTTTCCTTATCCAGCCCAGCTCAGGTACAGCACCAAGACCACCCGGGGAAGCAGCACGGGGGAGGCCATCTGTGCTCTGCCAATGCCTGCTCAGCTACCACAAGGCTCAGAGCCCCCCAAAGGCACAGCAACACAGTCCCCATCTCTATACCACTGAATTAAATAGTGTTAGTGTTTGGACATGGACAGTAACCTGTCATTGTCCAGAGGTTGTTAGCACAGCTCCCAGCACAATTTTTGTCCCTCCTAACTGGACCTTTCCCCAAAAGCTCCTAGGCCTAGTTCAGGAGTTAGCAGAGGTCAGGACCATCACTAAGATGCAGTCTGGGTGCAGCCCCTGCCTTAGACGGCAAGTTCAGCCAAATGGCAAGTCCTGTGTTGGGGCCTCAGAGCCAGGCACCTGGACTGCTGCGCTTTATTCCCTGGTGTGCATGAAGCTGCTGTGACTGCAGCCCTGCTGTGGATTCATGGCTGTCTCTATGTAGACCCAAAGGTGACAAAGATGGGGGACCACTCCCTGTCCAATGGGCATCCTAAGGGAGCCCTCCCTCTGCACCAGCCTGTTCCCTGAGCCGTCAGCAGGTGCTGAACACAGCAGTGGTGTCTGTGGGTGGCTGATAACGCAGGCACCGCAGGGAGGCAGGTTGCAGGATGCTGCCCAGGGACACTGGGCAAGCTGGCATTGTTTGCACCACAGGTTCAAAGGGCAGCCTTTGAAGGGCTGCACATCCCTTAGTGTCCGGGAACCCCTGGCTGAGGGTAGGGTGAGGGGTGCCTTGCTGGGAGGTTGGTGCTTGCCCGGTAGTTTGGAAGAGACTGGGATATTGCAGCACCCGGTATCAATACAGGCTGGGGAATGAAGGGATTGAGAGCAGCCCTGAGGAGAAGGACTTAGGGGTACTGGTGGATGAAAAGCTGGCCATGAGCCGGCAATGTGCACTCGCAACCCAGAAAGCCAACCATCTCCTGGGCTGCATCCCCCGCAGCGTGGGCACCTCTGCTCCGCGCTGGGGAGCCCCCTCCTGGAGCCCTGCGTCCAGCTCGGGGGTCCTCAGCAGTTGGAGCAGGTCCACAGAAATGTTCAGAGGCTTGGAACACCTCTGCTATGAGGGCAGGCTGAGAGAGAGCTGGGGTTGTTCAGCCTGGAGCAGAGAAGGCTCCAGGGAGACCTTACTGTGGTCTTAAAGGGGGCTTATAAGAAAGATGGGGACAAACTTTTTAGCAGGGCCTGTAGTGATAGGATAAGAGGTCATGGTTTTAAACTAAAGGAGGGGAGATTTAGACTAGATATAAGAAAGAAATTTTTTACAATGAGAATGGTGAGACACCGGCCCAGGTTGCCCAGAGAGGTGGTAGATGCCCCGTCCCTGGACACATTCAAGGTCAGGCTGGATGGGGCTCTGAGCACCCTGATCTACTGGAAGATGTCCCGGCTCATTGCAGGGCGGGGTTGGACTAGGTGACCTTTAAAGGTCCCTTCCAACCCAAACTATGCTATGATTCTATGATATGAGAAAGTCAGTCCTCAGAGCCCAGACGTCAAGCTGGAGCTTCTTGTTAAAACTCCGTTCTCTTGTGCCTGCTCGATGGTTGGGTTTGGGACAGGATACCAGGCTGACAGAGATCTTTCTGACACTGTGCCACTGTGCAGGCCCTCGTGAGCCACCCGTGGTATGGCACGGCGTTCAATCCATTGGCACCATGATTAAGTGCTGGCCACTGCAAGTCGCCCATGGGCATGGTGGGAAATGCTCAGCCATGTACAAGTACCCATCTGAAATCGCAGTGCTCACCACAGCCCCCTGTCACCACACATCCCCTCAGCCACTATACAGGCTCCTCAGCACCCTGGTGTCGCTGCGAGCTACTCACTGCACAGCGCTGCTGCTGCTGCAAGCAAGCCACAGCATGGGCACCAAGAGCACTGGGGAGAGGCCAGACCAGCACACCATATCTCATGAAGGGGGTCCCAGCCCCCACTGGGGCATGGGCCCCCTGAGTCCTGAGGAACCTGAGCTGCAGCTGCAGGTTTCCTGCTGCAGCCTTGCATCATGGCAGCCAGCCAGCACCACGCTGAGCTGCCCCTGCAGGACTGCCTGCACCCTGACTGTCCCAGAGGGCCTGATGCCATCTTGCAACGAAACCATGTGCACAGCCCAACCGCAACGCCTCTGTCACCTGGTACATGCGGGCATCCAAACAGAGTAACCCCCAGCCCCAAACTCAGCTCAGGAGTTGGTACTCTGCAGTTCCTGAAACCCAGAGTCAACGGGCAGCTGTACTAAAACCCCAGTCAGGCGCACAGAGGTCTGTGACTGTGGAGAGCTGCTGTGCCCAGGGCTCCCCTGCATGCTCTGTCCCAGGGATCGCTGCCTGTGAAGGAGCAGCCTTTGCACAGTGCCATGGGAGTGTGTCTGTCTGAAGCTGCCATTCAGAGGTGAGCATTTCATAGCTGTGGAGCTGTGCCAAAGCTGCTGTGTCCATGAAGGAGGGGCTGACAGGGTCACACCCTGGCCAATTCTGTCTGGTCCCTGAGCCAGCACCCAGGTCTCTGAGCCAGCAGTCACCATGCTCCTACGTGTACCCAGGTCTCTCAGCTGAAGCCCCAGCCTCGGGGTGAAAGCAGCCCCGAGTGGCTGTGCCTTGTCCCATCTGTTCAGTTCAGAGCCAGGCTGTGCGAGAACAGCAACTGCTGAGGTCTGCCCAGTGGTCTGCTCCTGGGCACTGCTGCAGCAGCTCACAACTGAAACCCTGTGCCGACACCACAGCTGAAACAGACCTCACAGAGCCCTTCTCCTCCCCCTTGCTTTTCCACCCAGGTCTGCAGCCAGACCCTGCACACAGGGACCGTGCTTCCCAGTGGGCGAGGCTGAGACCTGTGGGGTCTGTCATGCAGAGAGCTCCCCTCTCCCTGCTGTCCTGGGTGGTATAAGCAGGGCTCTGCTACCCCATGCATGGCTGTGACACTGGTCTGCATGGCAAGCTGCCGTGCTGTGCTGCAGCAAGGCCTGATGGGGTCACAGAATCACATCCCCCCGTGATCCCTGTCCCTTCGCATCCTTTTGTCTTGTCTCTGCTCAAGCCGTGTGTGCCAGTGGCTCTCAGAACACCCTGGACATGTCCTGGCTGCATCTCGGTTGCATCTCAGTTGCTGTGGCAATACCACTTCATCTCAATGAGGAAACATTTCCCTCGGGCAAAGTGCCCAGAGTACAGGATTTTTCCTTTAAAACACGTCCCTCCTTGAGCCTCGTTTGTCTGTCTGTGAGACACCGCCCTGCTTTCTCCCAGGGCAAGGGGCTGCGTGCTGCAACTGAATACGGGGTGCTGGAGCACCAGAGGGAGGGAGGCCAAGGGGGGCTGGCACAGTGCTGCTCTCCTGCCCTGTGCCAGCTGCCAAGCGGTGTTACACAGGGCCCCTGTCCTTCAGCTCTGCTGTGACGATGGACCAGTGCATGGGCACCAGTGCATGACTGTCCTCGGCCATCCCCAGGCTTATCTCCTCTTCAGGGAGGACCAGAGGTGATGTCCACAGGAGCTGTGTGAGAGCTTTGCATTGGAGAGCATACTAAAGTGCCTGCTGTGGACAAGACCAGAGCAGGGGAATGTCACAGGAGCATCCTCAGCCCCATACTGTGGCACCTCAGGCTCTGCTGCTTCTGTCCTAGGCAGGAACAACCCTTCAGAAAGCGGACTGCTGCTGACTGCTTTCCTTGTATTTTCTCTGGGCCAAGCCAGCCCAGGAGGCAGGGCCTGCTCTCGCAGTCAAATGGTGCCAGTCATTTTAGTGTATCTTTTTGGATGTCCTCCACCTTCTCGGGTGGGACAGCAATACCTTGTCGTTGCAAAAGCCCAGGTGCACAGTGGCTCAGAAGGGTAAGAATAGATGTCTGTCCTCAGACCCCTAGCAGGAGAACTGCTGGCAGCTCCTACAGTGTCTTTGTAAGGATTTGACCTAGACTAATAGCTGCAGTTAGGTGACTTTGGCTTGGAGCTTGATGGGCTTGTGTAGCAGTATAGGGCTTGACACAGAGCAGTTCTCTCTTAAACTGGCCATACCTTGAAAGGTGTCTCCACAGTGGGAGGACTATTGCATGCTTTAATGTAAGCAGAAGCTGTCTGTCCTGAGCAAGGTGCAGGATTTATGACCCAGGGCAGCTCACGGGGACCGATAAGAAGGCTGTCCGTTTGGAGAGGGCTCAGAAGAGCTCAGTGTGTTTGTTCTGTCTATTTGAGAATGGATGGATGGGCAGAGGGATGGACTGAGTGCAAGGGAACAAAAGAGAAGACAAGGGATGGATGTGCTGGTGCCTCATTCACCCCCTCTTCACCCATCCCATCCTGCTGTTTCCCTGCTCCCAGGTGCCATCTCAGTTCAGGACTCCAGCAGCCTGGATTTCGAGGCCAGCCCCCGGCTGCGCCTTGTGGTCCAGGCAGAGACAGCAGCTTCCTTCGGCTTTATGGCCATAAACCTTAACCTGCAAGATGTGAACGACAACTTGCCACGCTTCCAGCTGCAGAACTATGTGGCGTTCATCTGGGAGTCACAGAGCTATGACTCGCCAGTCATCCAGGTATCACTGGGGGCACAAACAGGGACACCTGGGCCCCTGGCCTGCCTCTCTGCTGGGGTGAGGCAGTGGGGGGCTGTGCCACGGGCCTGGGGCTGGCACCTACGGAGAGGTCTAGTCTTGGAGGGCTGTGGTTTACAGGGCTCCACAACTGCACTGCTGAATCTCTCGTGTGGCTTTGCAGGTCCTGGCAGATGATCTGGATCAGGGAGCGAACGGGCAGGTGACTTATGCCATCAACCAGTCCCTGCCAATGACAGGCTTGTACCACATCGATTCTCAGACTGGCACTATCACTACTGCTGCCATCCTGGACAGGGAGATCTGGTCCCAGACCCGGTGAGTGGAGCCAGGCTAACTTGTGCCACAGGTACGAGGGGGGCATAGCTGCGGAGCAGCGTCCTCAAGGCTGCGGAGGATACTCTGCTACTTGGTGCCACCCAAAGCTGTCTCAGCCCTGCCTGTAAAATGTTTTTACCAAACAGCAGGAACTTGGGCTTAGTGTTAACATGGGGAGCAAATGGTATCCAAGGCGTGACAGATGGCCATGAGATGAGCCAGTGCTTTGTTCAGCCTGGTCTCCGCAAATCTGAGAAGATTGTAAGGGGGGGGCAGTGGACTCTCTTCAGTGGCCACATCCATTCCCTTTCCTGTCTGCTTAATCCAGACCACATATGCTCAGTCCCTCCCCACTCCCATGCATTGCACCCTTCTGCCCTGCCACACGTGCTCCGGATGCTGTGCACTGCCCTGAACCCTCTGGTAAGGCCTCCTGCGTTCAGCCCAGGTCCTCTGGGCCCCTCACCATGTGCACACACTCTAGACATCGTCTAGCCGCACGTATATAAGATAATGGCAAACACTGCACACAATGAATTTAAGTCTTCCCCTACCCTTTTACACATGCATGGTTCAGATGCAAGGAACAACTTCTGCCACCCCACTCAGGCTATGTTCTCTCCCCCGTACGCATGCTCCAATGTCTACGTGTCTCTCTCCCTTCTTCCCCAGCATGGGGAGGCCTAGGGCATTCATCCCATTCACATACCCATCACCATTCCACAAAGAGGCTCCTTGCATTCCCCAACACCCAGATATGCTCCAAAGGCCTGTCTCCCTTGCAAAAGCCTCCAACCATGCATGCATCTTTTGTCCCACATGCCCACGCCAGGGCTGTGCATGAATCCACTGCCCACCACACGCTCCAAAGACTTGTGCCCACATTCACTGCCTGCTCGTATGTTCCAGGTGCGGGACACAAACCCACTGCCCTCCAAACATGCACCTCAGATGTGCATCCATCTGCTGCCCTGCCCCACCGTACTCTCGATGTACACACATCCACTGCCCCACATATGCACTCCAGATGCTCTGCACATATCCATTGCCCCAGACACACCAGATGCTGTGCACAGTTCCACTACCACATGTACACACTCCAACCCTGTGCACACATGCAGTACCCCCCCCGACATGTTCCAGATGCTGTGCATGCATGCAAGCATTGCTACCTCACACATATGGCCACGTGTCTGTGAACCTTGTGCTGTGCCCTTGTGCTTGCCCACAGTTTGGTGGTAACGGCAATGGACAGAGGGACGCCGCCTCTTGTGGGCTCTGCCACGCTGACCGTTGTGGTGATGGACATCAATGACAATAGCCCCACCATCCCGTTTCCCTGGGAGGTGCGGGTCCCAGAGAGTAAGTGCAGCTCAGCCCCATGAGGTAATGTGTCACCAATGGCAGGAGTTGAGGCGCGATGGACACCTGTGGGTTGGGGAGAAGCCCCCGGAGAGGCCTGTCTGTTCCCTTGCCAAGGGCTGGCTTGTGCTGACCCACTGGCTGGGCTCCCCCGAGCTCTTCGGCACTGCCCCATCTGTGACGGCCTGGGGCTGGGGGTTGTACAGCCCCTACGCTGCAGCTGTGTCCTGAGGGAACCAGCTGAATTCCCAACTCATCCCTGGCCCCTGCCCGCACTGTAGGCTCTGGCTGCACGCACCTGCCCTGCCTGCTCTCTGTCCTTGGCCTGCGTGCCCTGTGCCTGTGCCAGCCTTGACCTGCCCTGCCTAGCTCCCAAGACCGTCCCCCTTACCCCTAGCATCTCCCCCTTGTCCCCGGTGCTCAGGCTCTGGACTGAGCTGGTTTCCCACCACGTGAGCCAGGTCTTCTCCAAGGAGATGGGGCTGCTTGCTCATGCCTCGCCTCTCCACAGACACGCTGCTGGGCACCCAGATAGCCCAGCTGACCGGGAATGATGTGGACTCAGGCCCCACGCTCTCCTACACGCTCATGCTGGATGGTGATGCCGTGGGCACGTTCAGTGTGCTGCGGTATGGGGGACGCATTGCCCTGACAGGGCCACTGGACTATGAACAGCGCAGCCACTACACCCTCACCCTGCGTGCCTCTGACACCCGCCACGAGACCGAGGCCAACCTCACCGTCGTTGTGGAGGATGTGAATGACAATGCGCCGACTTTCAGCCAGGGCTTCTATCAGGTACGGTGCACGCAGGTGTGCCAGGCAGCGCGGGCTGTCCTGCACAAGCCCCTCTGCTGCTCCTGCCTGGCTCACAGAGATCCCCTTGAGCGTGGGCCTGAGCCCGTCCTGGCCCCTCTCCTCCTGGGCTCCCATCCACATCCTGACACCCCTTGTGCTGTCACTGCGGTGTGGACAGGAGGCTGAAACCAGGCACGTAGCACTGGGATCAGCAACTGCGGGCCTGCACAGCTGCATGCAGATCACAGAATCGTTTAGGTTGGAAAAGACCCTTAAGATCATGGAGTCCAACCGTTAATCTAACCCTGCCAAGCCCACCACTAAACCATGTCCCTAAGCCCCACATCTGCCTGTCTTTTAAATACCTCCAGGGATGGAGACTCAACCATTTCCCTGGGCAGCCTGGGCCAGGGCCTGACAGCCCTTTGGGGAAGAAGTTTTTCCCAATACCCAACCCAAACCTGCCCTGGCGCAGCTTGAGGCCGTTCCCTCTCGTCCCATCGCTTGTTCCTGGGGAGAAGAGACCGACCCCCCCGGCTCCAGCCTCCTTTCAGGCCGTTGCAGAGAGCGATGAGGGCTCCCCTCAGCCTCCTCTTCTCCAGGCTGAGCACCCCCAGCTCCCCCAGCCGCTCCTTGTAAGACTTGTGCTCCAGACCCTTCACCAGCTTCATTGCCCTTCTTTGCGCGTGCTCCCGATGGTACATGCTGGAACAGGTGGGAACTGTGGGAAGGCCAGAAGTGGTGGGAGATGGCTCACAACCTGGACAAGTGTTTCGGGCGAGACCTGGCCTGGGGCCCCATAGGCAGATCACTGGATGAAAGCAGATGCGTGCAACGTGCTGCATCTCTGAAGCAGAGACGCAAGAAACTGGGAAGCCACAGAAATGCTTCAAGGTTGTGAGAGGACAGAACTGCCTGTACATGCTGTTTGGCACACCAAAAAGACAACAGCTGTTTTGACTTGTGTAAAATACCTTTTGTGGAGAAAATACCAGCTATTCTTCAGAATAGCAGAGCAAAACAGAGAAAAGGATTGGGAACTGGATGCTGAAGCTGGTTGGGGGTCACACTAACAAGGCTAGGTGCTGTGCACATGGGACAGGCCCCCTCAGCGTGCCAGCCATGGCCCTGGTGCAGAGGTGGGGAGGGCCCTGGCCAGCGATAAGCTGGGCCACCTTGGCTATCACTGCCCTGGCCAGCCCCAGACCTTCTCCCAGCCCTGCTGGCTGACTCCAGGCAAGGGGGAACAGGCACCCGCATGGGGGACCTGGTGCTGACTGGGGCTTCCTCCTCTTCCAGGTGACGTTGCCGGAGCACACGCCTGCAGGCAGCATCATTCTCACCTTGAGCGCAACTGACCCAGACTCGGGGAACAACGGGGATGTCACCTTCCACCTGGCCGTGCCCAGCCCCGACATCGCCATCGACCCCAGCAATGGTGCGTGGCGCTGGCTGCTGTGTGGGGCCCATCTTGGGGGTTGCTCTGACGGTGCCTGCAGAGGGAGGTGCCCCAGTGCTGGCCCAGGCTCAGCCCCTCACCAGGTCACTGTCCGGGGTGGCCAGTGAGGCAGACGTGGTGGTGTAGCCATCGAGCACTCCCACCGCAGCATCCTGGACGCCTGTTCCTCCAGCCATAACCCTAACACCCTTCCCGGGTCCCTGTTGGCCCCCATGCTGACTCTGGCTTTGTGCCCTCACAGGGACCCTCTTCACCATTCGGCGAGTGGAATTCAACGCCAGCCAGCCCACCCTGGACCTGGTGGTGGAGGCCCGCGACCGTGGCTCTCCCAACCTCTCATCCTGGGCCACAGTGCAGCTCCAGGTGCTGGATGTGAATGACCACAGCCCCAGCTTCCAGGTGCCATGCTACAACGCCAGTGTCCCTGAGGACCTGCGCCCAGGAACCACCGTGCTGACACTAGAGGCAGGTGATGCCGATCTCTCCCGGGAGAACGCTGGCTTCGACTACACCATCGTCAGTGGCAATGGCGGCAACGCCTTCCAGGTGGAGAGCCGGGTGGCCTGGGCAGGAGGGCATCTCCGCACACAGGGTGCCTTGGTGCTTGTGGAGCCTTTAGACTTCGAGGCCATCCCGGTCTACAACCTCACCGTGGCAGCCTCGGACCGGGGCCTGCCGCAGCGCAGCACCACGGTGCCTGTGCTCATCACCGTGCAGGATGTCAACGACAACCCACCCGTGTTCACCAGAGCTGAGTACCGCACAGCGGTGAGCGAGAGCGCACCCCCTGGCACAGAGCTGCTGCGCGTGGTGGCCCACGATGCTGACTCGGGGCCCCGTGGCCATGTTCACTACACCATCAGCTCAGGTGACCAGCATGGGCTCTTCCAGCTTCATGAGAGTACGGGGGCCCTGTGCCTGGCACGGCCCCTGGACCGGGAGGCCCAGGCACTACACACACTTGTGGTGCAGGCCACAGATGTGCCAGGCGGGCACTTTGCACTGGTACCTGTAGCCATCGAGGTGAAGGATGTCAACGATAACAAGCCATACTTCCCAGTGGAGGTGCTGAGTGCCAGCATGCGGGAGAACCTGCCCCCCGGCACACTGGTCACCACGCTGCGTGCCGTCGATGCAGACACCGGTATCTTCGGGGAACTGCGGTACACAGTGCTGGAGCAGCCAGTGGGGGAGCCCAGCATGACGGAGGGCCGGGATGCCTTTGCCATCAACAGCAGCTCTGGGGAGCTGCGCTCCCGACTTACCTTTGACTATGAACGAGCCAAAGCCTTCCAGCTCCTAGTCAGGGCCACTGATGCTGGCAATGCCTCTGCCACGGTGACCGTGCGGGTGCTGGTGACCGGAGAGGACGAATATGATCCCATCTTCCTGAGCCCCTCCTTCAACTTCGAGGTCCCTGAGGGCGCCCGCAAAGGGCAGAGCATTGGGCGGGTGCTGGCAACAGACGAGGACGAGGGGGCTGATGGTGTTGTATTGTACTCCCTGGCAAAGCCCTCACCGTACTTTGCCATCAACCAAACCACAGGCACCATCTACCTGCGTGTGGACAGCCAGCCCCAGGCCGGAGCTGGGCGCGCCAAGAGGGAGCCACGTGAGATGAGCCTGGAGGTGCAGGCGCGCAGCCCCCTGCCCGCCTCCCGCTCGGCCTCTGCGCAGGTCACCATCGATGTCACGCACACCTCCTTCGGCCTGGCTCCGGACCTCAACCTGCTGCTAGTGGCCGTCGCCGCCTCGCTGGGGGTTGTGGTGGTGCTGGCCGCCGTGGCCATTGTGCTGGCACTGGTCCGCTCTCGTCACCGCCGGGGCCACGAGAAGCCGGAGGGGGATGGGCCGCTGGGCCGCGTGCAGAGCGGCTCCCTGCAGAAGCTCGGCCGCGAGGAGCCGGCGCTTCCCGGGGGCGAGCACATTTACCACCAGGCCCTGCCGGGGTATGGGGGCGAGCCGGCAGGGCCCTACACGCGGGGCGGCTCGCTGGACCCCTCACACTCCAGCGGCCGAGGCTCCGCCGAAGCCGCTGAGGATGATGAGATCCGGATGATCAACGAGTACCCCCGCGTGGCCAGCATCACAGCCTCCATGCAGGAGCACATTTCCGCCCGCGGCCCTGACTCCGGCATCCAGCAAGATGCCGACCAGCTCTCTGACATCTCCTGTGAGCCGGCCGCCCTGGAGAGCGCCCAGTGGTTCAAGAGCAAGAAGGGCTCCGGGCTGCTGCTGCCAGGGCCACCCCCGCAGCTGTACCGCGAGGATGGGGGAGGCAGCGCCTTCCTCGGCGTGCGCTGTGGCCTCAGCGTCTCCTCCCAGCCCCAGGACTATGCCTTCCCGGAGGACGGCAAGCCCTCCGTGGAGGGCTCGCTCACCGCCATCGTGGCCAGTGATGAGGAGCTCCGCGGCAGCTACAACTGGGATTACCCGCTGAATGAACTGGTGCCCCCAGTCCCAGCCGCTGGCCAGTGTCTTCACAGAGATTGCCCGCCTCAAGGATGAGAGCTCCCTGCGCAAGCCTTTCCCGACCAAGCCCAAGGCAGAGCCCAAGCCCCGCATCGACCCCCCACCTCTCATCACCTCAGTCGCCCACCCGGGTGCCAAGTCTGTGCCCCCCAAGCCGCCGGCGGGCAGGACCTTCCCGCACCCGTCCTCCCTGCGCCGTTCGCCCATCAGCCACGAGGGCTCTATCTCGTCCTCCGCCATGTCGCCCAGCTTCTCCCCCTCGCTGTCCCCGCTGGCCACCCGCTCCCCCGTGGTCTCGCCCTTTGGCATCTCACAGGGGCCTTCTGCCTCTGCCATCAGTGCCGAGCACTCACTGGAGCCCCCCGAGGAGGCCGAGCTCAGGATTTAGACCTGGGCCCGTGGACTCCTCCGCCCCACCCCACAGCCATGGGGTCAGGAGCAGGGCCAAGCCCAGGGCTGCTCTGCATGGGTGCTAATCCTGCTCTCCCAGCACCTTGCCTGGCCCGGGGCCCCCATGGGCTGTGGGTTCCTGTGTCCTTTGGGGCTGCTGGCTCCTGTCACACCCTGTGGTCTGGCAGATTCAGTGCTGGTTTTGATGCCCTATGGACTGCTGATCCTAGTGCCAGCACCCCAGGGCGGCGGTTCCTTGTACTGCTCATGGTGTCTCAGATCGGCACCTGGCAGGATGGTGCTTCACGGTACTCTGCTCTGAGAGACGCTGGGAGCAGACGGGGTGCTCCCTGCCCTGCTGGGCCAGGTTACTGCAGACTGCAGACCCTGCCCCTCCCCGGCCACTTACCCAAGCCACGCAGCAGCCTGGGTGCAGCAGGACACTGAGCCATCCCCGTTGGCCCTTTCCCCGCAGAAGCTCACAGGGCTGGGGAGGAATGCTCCCAGGGCAGGGATGCACTGCTCAGCAGGCAGAGCCGCAGCTGTCTGCCCATCCTGCCTGCGGGGCCGGGGATGGCTGAACCTGCTTCCTGAGAGTGAGGGGAGACCCATCTCAGGCCAGGCTGGAGTGGGAGGAGAAGGCAGTGCCCGCTTTCTGCTTGCCTATCCATGGCTGGTGGGGGGAAAGGGGATTCTTTGGGGGGGGGTCTCTCGAGCCCTTCCACCTCCCACCACTGCATGTGACCCTTTTAAGGGAGCTCCTTCCCAGAGCTGCTGGAGAGCCCTGTTCCTCGGGGCCTGGGCTGGGAGGCAGGTACCCTGCTCAGCATGGGAGCCCCATTCCTGGAGAAGCTGCTCCCGGCGCCAGGTACCTCTCTGGGCTGCGGGCTGGCTGGGCACCAGGCACGGACACTGCCCAGGCACCAGGCAGGCTGTGCGGCGGGGCCAGCAGGAGCAGTGGCGCGAGAGCTGCAGCAGAGCTGACCCCGAGACGGCCTGGCCCCAGGAAAGGCAGCAATGTGGCTGCTCAGTGACACAAGCCAGTGGCCTCCTCCCGCTCCATCTGCCCCAGGCCTGGTGGCCAGCCTGCAGCTGCCCAGAGGCAGGCGGGAGAGGGTACCCCAAAAAGCCACACGGCCTGAAGCTGGCACGGTGGCAGCCAGCATATTACATATACGCGGGGCAGCCGGCCTCCCCCAGGGCCTTGCAGTGTGCCGTGCTCAGCAGGACAGTGTGGGCCACCAGGGACACCTCCAAAATGCGGGCAGGTGCCAGCCCTCTGTGCAGGGGCTGCTCTGCACCAGTCCTTCATGCCATGTCGTGAGCATGGGGTAGAGCCACACTCCAATGGGGCTGGTCCCCATCCTCACTCCAGCACCACTCGCCTTGCAGCTGGTGTCACGCTCACGCTGGGATCAGCCCCCACCTGGTGCTCACCCTGCAGCCCATGGCTGCTCACAGTGATGCAGGCACGCGTCGCGTGGCCCTGTGCCCTGGGAGTGCAGCCCTAGGGCTTGCCGCTGCGGCCCTGGCCCTGGACGGTCACGGTCGCTGTGACCCACATGCAGACATGGGTGCAGGGCCAGGGCCAGGGCATGTGGAGCACCGCCGCAGCTGCAAATACACAGTCAGCCTGGGCACGAGCATGTTTGTGGTGTCGGGGAGGACACCCAGCCATCTGAGAAGGGGGTCTGCGGGAATTTCCTTCCTATCACACTTTTCCTAGACCCGCTCTGTAGCCTCAGCCCGAAGCATGTCAGCACCATGGCTGCAACCCCAGCCCCAAATGTTTTATCACAACAGCCAAAACCCATCACTTTTGCCCACTCCCCCCCATTTCCCACTAAGAACCATCTGACACTGCAGCCCCATCTCTGTCATTGTCTCAGCCCTGAACCCCCAGCTTTGCGCCACAGGTCCCAGCCCAGCTGCACTGTGGGCATCCCCACGCCGCGGGCACAGTGCTGCACCCCAGTCCCCATGATGCACGTGTGAGTGGGTCCCTGGTGCCAGCAGCCCTGGGAGCTCTCCTGGGCACAGGGCAGCGACACAGGACAGGGATCTGCAGCAGCGATGGTGGCACCAAGGGGGCTGCAGGGCCATGCCTGCACTGCTTGGGAGCCACAGAGGACCCAAGGCAGCTCTGGGAGGGGAGGATGGGTTCTGCCTCACTCAGCACAGGGACAGCCCATGGAGGCTCTCGGGGCGGGCACCCCTCGTCCCTTCTCTCCTGGCCGGGCTGTCCTGCTCACGAGCACTGTGGGGAGCACGCCAAGGGCGCCCTGTGCTCCCTGAGCCCTAGCAGCCCTGCTCCCCCCAGCATGTTTGGGACAGGGGACACGGACGGGTCACCCCTCTGCACGCCACATAGAAGGGTCAGACACACAGCAGCCCCACTTTGGTCTGGGGGACACAGCCACGGGCTGCTGAGCCCAGCCAGGAGCCGAGCCTCCAGTTATTTATTTTTACACATTGTACTACGATTCCTGTTTTCTACTTTGTTTGTACCTTTTGTATCGTGTCTCGCTGAGCTGCATGTATTGGGCGCTGCTCATCGGCCTGCACACTGGGCCGTTCCAGCACAGCCTGGACCCAAGTGCCAACTTCTCAAAGAAATGCCTTAATAAACCACACTTGTTTGTACAGAGATGACATCATCACTGCTGCTCTGGGCTCGCGCTGTGCTGGCACCGTGGCCCTGCCAGGCGCTGGGGAGAAGCACCAGCAGGGCTGGCAGGCGGGGACAGACCTGAGGCACGGTGGGGCTCAGCATGTGGCGTGGCTGCCAGCAACGTGCCACGGGCCACAGTCACCCGTGCACCCGTACCTTGCACTTGGCTCTGGGCAGCTCCTTGGGTGGGAGAGCTGCGGCATGTGGGCTGTGCTGTGGCTGCTTCTGGCCCCTGGGGCAGACACTGCCAGCTCCAGGCAGCCCTGCTGCCTCGCTACGGCCGCCTGCCTCCTGGCCTTGGCAATAGGTCAGGCCTGCAATGAGGTGCAGGTATTTCAGCCCGAGCACAGCACTGTGGGCATGGCCCGGGTGCCCCGACTCCTCCTGGTGCATGCTGTGGCTGCGCGTGTCCCGGCATTGCGGCACACGCGGCCCTGGCTTGGCTGTTGCCCTGGCCACGCCACCAGCACCCACGTGCATGACTACATCATGCAAGTCCCTTCTGCGAGAGGCTGCCGAATCCGGCAGGTGAGGCTGCCACAGTGCCATGGCCCCAGGTCTAACCAGCAGTGAGGTTGAGCATGTCTTCCCGACAGGCAGACACACACAAACACAGGTCTAGAAGACACGTCTGCATGTGTGCGCACAGCCGGCCATACAGAGCAACACGGACAGCCACAAACAGCACCAACAGCCTCATCCTGCTCCCCTCACTGGCTGATGAAGGTCTGTCAGTGGGAATATATGTGTACAATGTGGAGCTCTCCAGTAGCTGGGCTTAGACACGCAGCCTGCCCAGTAGGTGCCCCCGGATTCCCAGTCTCCCCAGTTGCTGACACCTAGACGTATGAGTCCCTAGCCCCACTCTAGCTGCTACAGGACCCCCCCATTACAGACACCAACACACACAGAGACACACACACACAGTGGAACCCTGTGGTAAGCGGGCTTAGAAAATCAGTCTACCCAGTAGCTTGCCTTTGGGTCTCCTCCCCTCCTGTTGCCTAAAACAGAGACACACAAGTGGTTCTTGGTTGATCTCCAGACCCTACGGTCTCTCTGGCAGTTGGCTAGGACTCCCCCGATCCCTCTGGCAGCCTTCTTCCCTGTGGTCCTGCCACACACACACACACACGCACTCACTCCCCTTCCTCCCAGGCCACCTCACCCACTCGCTGCCTAGCCCGGATGGCTATTTGCTAGCAGTGACGCACTCACGCACCTATACTCCCTCTCTCCAGTTGCTGGCACCGTGGGCACACTGGCCCTGTGATCTGACACTACACACATCTGATGCACACACATGCACGCAGAACAGAGTCCCCCTGACCCAGGAAAACAGAAATTGAGTGTAAGAAGACGACAGGACAGGCTGCGCAGTCACTGGATGCAGGGCATGGCCTGACAAATGTACTGACCATCAACCCATTTACATGTGACCAGACGCTTTTATCTGTTTTCCCCTGTTTTTCCATTTTTTGTTCCACCCCAAACCACCTTCATCCTTCCCTTTCCTCACCTTTTAGTTCCTCTGCTACACATCCCATAATAAGTCTTGCGCAATCCTAAAATGCTCTGCGTTTTGCCTCGTGTAATGTGCCCCATACTGCTAGACAGTGCCCCTGCGGTCCGTGGCATGACTGGGAGAGCAGCTCCCGCGCACTCGTTCCGGTGGGTGCCACCCTCAGCCCATGGGGCTGGCCGTGAGCCAGGGACAGCCTGGGCAGCGCTGGGGAAGGGCGTCCCTTTCTCCGACTGCGTTATTGGGGTTCCTCTGCCCGCCACTGTTTCTCTGCTACTTTATCACAGAATCGTAGAATCATTAAGGGTGGAAAAGACCTCTTTTCACATAACCTAACACCTTCCAGCTCCCTGACCGGTAGCAACAGCAATGCCAGTGCATGCCGGGCGTGCTCGCTGCTCTGTGGCTGAGACTAAGGGGGTCTTTGGCCAGCAGGAAGGATGTTACTGTTCTCCCCTGGCATTGCCTGACCTCGGGTAATCCCGACTGTCCAGAGGAGGAGGCACGCTTGCCTCCATCTGCAGGAAGAGCACACAAGCCTACCCGGGGGAGCAGAGCTCCACCCAGGACACCTTGGCGGCTTCACTGGATGCTCGGGCTCTCTTGTCCCCTGCCTGCTGCAGACGAGCTAGTCAGACTAGCAGCAGATGCTTGTTAGAGTAATTAGCTCTGTCAGGGCAACCTAATCTTTGCTGGCCAGACAGATCCAGGAAATAATCTCCTGCAAATCTCATCCCACTTAAAGTCCTGCCCAAAGCTGTAGCCAGCTGGCCAGCTGGGTGGGCTGCAGCTCCCCGGCAGCGCACGCTGCCCAGCGCCCCAGGCCCCTAGCCAACGTGCGTCAAGGCTGAGCAGCGGCGAGTCCCTCCAGGCTGCAGCTGTAGCTGCTGGGCTGGTGCCACACCAGCTGGGGCGGCTGGCCGGGCCCGGGGCAGCGGGGAACCAGGAACGGGAAGGTGGGCCACCCCGCATGCGGCGGGACAGGGTGGGGGTGGGGACACGGGAAGGGCTGCATGCCTGGGTGCAGGACAAGGAAGCAGCAAGGGCTGCACGGCTGGGAGCGCAGTGCAGCAGACCAGGAACAGCCAGATGTGGCCCGGGTGCAGGGACTGCGCTCTGCCGTGCAGCTGCTCATTCTGGTGCCGTCAGGGCCCCGCACGCCTCCCCGCACATCCCGAGTCTTTGTTTCCTCAGAGGGTCCTGGGGAGGGGCAGCACCCAGGGCCACCTCTAGCTGGGCAGCCCCGTGCTTCAGCACCACCCTCTCACGTAGGACAGGTGACTCCCAGCCCTGACCCACAGCTACCTCCGCACGGTTCAGGAGCCTTCCTGTGGCACGGCGGAAAGCTCTTCCCACCCACGAGGCTGGGGGGACAGGGCTTGGCTGGCTGCGAGGGGGTGCTGGGCTGTGCCCTCTGAACCTGTGCTGTACTGGGCCCCGTGTCCCCTGGCCCCCAAGCCCTAACGGCTGCCCTACACCCAGCCTGCCCAGCCCTTTCCCCCGTGTTCCCTGGCCACAGTCTCCCTGCACACAGCTCCCCTGCTCGACCCCCAGCCCTGCAGGGTGCAACTGCGCAGCTTCGGGCAGGCAACCAGCTCCAGCTGCTGCAAACCACACAGCGCCGCATGCATGGAAACTCTACACGTGCTTCCAATTGCAGGGACCGGGAGTGCCCTAGGGCTTTGCACAGACACCCACAGAGGGGTGCTGGCGTCCCGCAAGGAACGGGGATGGAGCAGTGGGTTCCTAGAAGACACAAGAACTGGCCTCAAGGTGGCAAGGGAAGTACCTTGGAGGCCAGATGGGGGCTTGGGTGAGCCTGAGGAACACGGGCTGAGGTCCCAGCATCAGTGAGATGCTAAGCGGTGTTCTGTGAACGGGAAAGATGCTGGTCAAGGCCCACTGGGTCTCACGGCTGCCTCCCATCACCCAAAGGGAGGAGGGCCACCGGTCTGCAGCAGGCACTGCCCGCCTGGACATGTGGCACCTCCACCTCTCAGCTGCACACACGGCACAGCTGGAAAAGCGCTGCCTGCACAGCAGGGCTAAAGCCAGGAAGAACAGTGGGACTTCTACAGTCCTGGCCTTCCCTAGGAAAGGGCCTTCACCTACCCTGCAACAATATAAGCATCGGCCCACTTCTTAGCGATGCCTCGTGCTGCTACTGAGGCAAGAGAGATCCTCCGGGCCTCCCTCCCCTGGCAGCTGCTGCTCCGGACGGCCACAGTGCAGCTCTGGCGTGGGAGACATGGCAGCCTGGGCCAGGCAGGTGGTTTTCCCATTGTCAGTCTCTTCCTGACTTGGACTCTGCTCTGCAGAAGCAGGAAAGCGACTGGGAACTGCTGGAGCCAGGGCGTGCAGCATGCCTATGCATGTGACCAGGGCCGGGACAAGGACTAGACTAGCTGAGCCAAACTGGCCTGGGGCAGATGGGGTCACAGCACCCTCTGCCTCACCAGCCACCTCGGAAACACCCCCTCCAGTACTGCCCTTGGGCTCGCAGGCAGGGGCACAAGCTCCGTGGTTTCTGAGGCACTATTTCCAGAGCTCCCTTGCAAAAATTGCTCAAACCTTCCACAACCCCGAGATCTGCAAGTGCCATAATACCACTTTTGTGATCCTAATTAGGAGAGCTTCCAGTGTGGGAACGAATATCTCAGAGAACAAGCAGAGGAAGCTGAGAGCTGCAGCTCGGCAGCTGTGGGAGCCAAGCGGCTGCCTGTGACAGTGCCAGCTGGACTGCAGGCTGCACCATGGCTGGGCGGCGCGGTGCGGACGCAGCTCCTACCGCCTGGCCCTGCCTCGCAGCCCACTCCCACGACCAAGCATGAACGTGTGCTTGTAGTCCCTTGGGCCTCCCCCGCACCCCCGTCCCCCCCTGCTCCTGACTGACCAAGACACCCAGTGCCCACAGCTTCCCCACATCCCTGCACGCAGCCCTGGGTGGCTGCGGTGTGAAGGCCAGCAGGGCCGGGCAACGGCAGCCCTGGACACGCAGGGTATGCAGACGTGCTCTGCCACTGACTCCACGGCTCCCGGCCCTTGCTGGGCTCGCTGGCGATGCCCGGCCTCTGCGCGCAGAGGACAGCCTGGGCACCGATGGCCCGGACTGCAGCCTGCTCGTACGGCTTGCTGCCCCAGCCCCGGGGTAGGCACAGAGGAGCAGGCCCCAGGGGAGCTCAGACCTTCCCGTTGCCTCCCTGCAGCCACCCCTCAGAGCCAGGTTCCAGCGGGGTGCCCCCTCGGGGAACGGGGACCTCCGGCCCTACCCGCTCTGCGCGGGCCCCGCTGCTCCCCAGCATCGCCCCCTCGCCAGGGCCTGCTTCCCCCCACCAACCCCCCACCCCGCTGGGGGTGCGGGCACGACCCCTGCCCCTCCCCCGCTGGCCCCCGCCCTGGGCTCCGCAGCCCGGCCGCGCACCGGGCCCCTGCCCGCCCAGCCCGGGACGCTCCGCGACGCGGGAGAGGGACGGGGAAGACCGGGGCGGGGCAGCACGGACCGGACCGGACCGCGCCGTGGGGCGG